GTTGAGTGGAGATTCTAGTCTTTTGGTTAAAAGCCTTGCAACCAGTTTGTAGTCAAAGTTGAGATTCGAGATCGGTCGCCAATTTTTTAGTAGATTTTTGTTTCCCTTTTTAAATATCAATTTCACTCTGGCATAGTGTGAGCTTTGCGGTAGAGCGCCGAAGCTCAGGATAATATTAATCATATTCGTCAATTTTTCTTTTATCATGTGCCAAAATGTTGTATAGAATTCTTTGCTTAGCCCGTCAGGGCCGGGGGATTTATTATTTTTCATATCTTTTATAATAGAGAATATCTCGTCCTCGTTTGTGGGTTTTTCTATCTCTTCGTTTTGATCTTGGCTGAGTTGTGTGGCGCTCATTTGATTGATATAGTGGTGCTGGTGAGATTCGTCTATTTTACACTTCATGCCCCATAGCTCGTTATAGAAATCCTCTACCGCCTTAGTTACTTCGTTTTCACTTGTAACTGTCTTCCCGTTTAAATTTTGGATAGAATCCATCGATGTTTGTTTTGCGCGTGTTTTGATCCTATCATAGAAGTACTTCGTTGGTTCTTCTCCTTCTTCTTGATCTTCTATGCCCGCCAGGATTGTTTTATAATTGGCTTTGTTGTCAATCAAGTTTTTTAGCTGTACCCTAAGTCTTTCCAGTTTTCTTACGTCTGTACTATTCTTGTTGGCCACTGTATTCGCAATGTTTTGTCTTATCAATTGTTCAGTTATATTGTCTTCTTTTGCTTTTTTTATTGAGTATGCTATAGTTTGTTTTTTGGTGTTTGGTTTAAAGTTGTCCCACCAATCTAGTAAAGATTCGAAACTTTCAATGTTTATCAAGGCCCTATTATATGTATTTTTTATAATTTCCAAGTAATCTTTTTCTTTGTATAGCGAGATATTGTTCCGCCACATCCCCCGACCCCATCTTATATTTTTCAAAACTCTGAGTTTAATATATGGGCATAGAGCGTGATCGGCTACGGTGTTCACGGCATGTCCTACGTATGTAATTAAGGGGTCGATTTCGCGGGAGTTATAAATTCTATCAATCCTCTTGGCTTGCTGGTTGGCATTGGATATGAAGGTGTAAATTCTTTTATTCTTATTTCGTTGTCGAAAGGAGTCACTTATCTTGTGCTTTGTTAGGAGAGCGTTGAAAATTTTGGCCGCGGCCGTGTGTTTCTGGTTGGAAGGGTTTAAAACATCTCGGTTGTCTAGGATCACATTAAAATCCCCTAGAACTATCAAGGGGCTTAGGTAATACATGTCCTCCAAGATCTGCACCAATTCTTTGTAAAACTCTGTTTTCGGTGCGCCGCTCTTTGCGGGGGCGTACACATTTACTATTTCTATGCGAAGTCCGTCGATTTCTAGCGCTAGGCTGCAACATCTGTGTTTAACGCGAACGGAGTATTGAACGCCTTCTATCAGGGCGTTCTTTACCATTATTGCGGTGCCCTTCCTGAAGGTTTTGTCTTCGGGATCTAATACGGTAAGCGTGTTAGGGAAAATGTGGTAACCCAGTTTTCCTGCCCACTCTTCTACTATGCTGTTTCTGATTTTATTGACCTCCTGTAGGCATAGAATGTCAGGTTTTTCATATGATACGAATTGGGCTAGTTTCGTTTTATGATGGTTAAGCCCGTTTACGTTTATTGATATGATTTTCATTTCGCTCATTTTAGTAATTTAAATTTAACTCACGTTTTTGACTTCCCTTTGTTTTGTTTCGAGATCCTAGGTACATCCATAATTTATATCCGAGTTATAATCCTTATTTATATCCAAGTTATGTCTGTGTGGTTTGTTTTGTATCAATTATCTTTTCTGGTGTCTTTTGATTGGTGGATTGGTTGCCACAGTCGATTGTTTATGTCTGTGGGCGCTCGGTTGTGGCGGAGGCTTTCTCCTTCTTGGGGTTAGGCGGTGTGCACGAGGATGATGCAGAGCTCAAATTAAGTCTATCTCGTTTATTTGCGCCACTGGCTTGTCCAATTGGATTGTAGTCACTGTTTCCCAAATGAGCGGGGGCTGAGTTATTAATCCACGTATCAGAAAACGAGGAAGAGTCAATGGATTCGTATCCTCTAACCATTCCTTTTACGTACGATTGTCTTGTCATTTCATGTACTATGGGGGTCTGTCCGATTGTTGAATTTGGTTTTAACTTTCTTCTAGGTGTTCTCGGTATGTCCAACGGTTTCTCTAACTGGGAGTCGTCTCTGCTCAGAGACCAATCTTTTGTTTCGTCGTTTAAGTCATCGTTTTCGCAGTTTGAGGAGGTTTCGTTATCGCTTATTGCTTGTGTGCTCTCCTCTTAGGTTTGTGGTTTGCTGTTTGTGTTTGCCTCTTCTCTTAGCAATGTTGAGGATAGCGGCGAAAGGCACATGCCTGCATTAAGTTGTGGTACGTTGTGACGGTTTGTATTTATCCCTGTTTTGTTGTTAGTATTAGCGGTTCTTTTAGATATGTTCCAAGCGGTTGGTTCTTTCTGATTGTGTCGGTCGATACGTTTTTTGCATTGTTTTACGAGGTGTCCTTCCTCTTTGCAGTATCTACATACCGGTGTATTCTGACATGCGACGAATGTATGGCCCTGTTGTAAACACCTGCCGCATGTCGGAGTGTATAACTCTTGCGGGAGATACGTTTTGCATCTTATTCCATCGAATATGATATAGTCCGGTAGTTTATCCTTGTTAAAGTCTGTGATGAAAAAAGCGGTATAACCGTTATATATTTCCGTGCCTTTGTGCCAGTTTTTCATTGCGTTTTTAATTTTGCCGCATTCTAGGTTGTTTATGATTGCCGCGGCCCTCGCAAACGGTGTTTCATCGGGTATGCCTTTGATTGAAATTCTTGTCGGTGTACCTGCGGGTAGCATGAAGTGGATAGGCCCATACATTGAATTCAACTTGCCACCGGTTGCGCTTAGGAACTCATCCCTGCAACTAGACGTTTCGTTTGATGTAGGTTTAAAGGATATTGTCCAGAGACCTCTTCTCACTTCAAATAATCCTTTTATTTCATTGTAGTACTGGTTGACATCGGGTGTTGTTTTTAAAACTCCAAGCAGTCCTTCAAAATTTATGTTGTCCTCCGTCTCGATCATCAGAGATCGCGGTCTGTTATTACTTGGTGTGGTCATTACTGGGGGTATAGCGGCGACTTTTGCGTAGGCCATAATATCCAAAGGTATTTAGACTATCTTGTAATTCCAACTATAACTTGTTCCTAAGGCTTGATCTTAGCCGAAGAGCCGAAGAGCCGAAGATCGATACATGCCATGATATTGAAATATGCGTATCGCAAAATTTCAACAAGGTGTACATTGCCAAAATAATATCCAAAAAATATACTACATGCATGGAATGAAGGATAACGGAGTATATCTAGTTTACAAGAACATATAATAATCTAGAGTGTATAAAATAATATATTATCTATTTGACTTGAGCTCTTGCCGCAGGTCTACCAGCATAACGTTTTTCAATAATTTTATTTGTCTCCTCTTTTGCGTGAATATTTAACCTTAAATTGAGAAAACGTTTCAAAATTTCAAAAGCGATATTGTGTCAAGATGGGAAATTATATTTCAAGCAACTTCATCTGTCAGAAAAGTAACAGGCGAACATATATTATGAAAGGCATTAATATTTGCGCGAAATATAGTTTATACTTCGCGCAAAAATACGATTGCTTTTTTGGATGGGTGGCATAAATATTGGATAAAACTATCGATTTTCAAAATTTATCAGGTGTGTAAAACCTAAAAAGATTTAGTAACGATTGTGGGCATTCATCGGGATTGGCACGTACCATAGAAACAAACAAACAATTTAAACCCTTTGTCTTTATAGGGTTCCCCCGGAAACATCAAGGCTTATTTTTCACTGTTGGATATCGATAAAATTACAATTAAGTTTTATCAACGAGAACGTAGAAGACATGCCTAAATATTTTAAATTTTCGACGCAAAAGAATCGAAATATCCTGCCAATAATAAGTTGATAAGAGCTGTAACACCAGTCGCGGCGGCTGGATTTTAAATTTTGTACCCTATAATGTACATGCTTCGATGAAATTCATTAGGCCGCACAATGTGCTAGCCATGAAATCGTTTACATTCTATAATTTTTGGAGCAACTGTTGCAACAGCTCGTTAAATTAAGAAACATTTTTCCGAGAAAATTCATTTCATCAGCTTCTGGGATGATAAGATAACTATCGCAACTTTCACGAAACCGCACGATAGGGTAAAATGCAAAACAGTAAAAAATCTTTGAACATATTGACGAACGAGACCTTCTGACGAAGCTAAAACAAACCGACGCTGCCGCGTTCCCTCCGATTCGTTGGACACAAAATGACGTCCAATATGCACCATTGCACTCGGTGTCTCCACTTGGTTTATAGTCACTTTGTCTAATACTTAATCAAGATCGATAACCCAAAACATGCGAATCTCACGCGGGATCCGTAACGGGCAACAGTGAATCTGAATCAGCGCAAAACAGAAACTTTTGTAAAAACAAAGTTTTGCCAACCTCCATCGCAAATGAGTAAATGATACTTAGCCGAAGGAGGATAGGATATACATACTTATCCACGGAAAGATAATAAAATGGCGCACAACGGCCTCTCGTCCGGTTACCAGTCCATGTCGTGTATGAGATTTGTAGACGAAGTTTTTATTTGAAGCTCATGGACCTGATCCCTGGACTCGGAGAATTTTTTTCGGAACTCGCAGTTAAATTTATCAGACCACACATTTGTTATCTATAATCAGAGTCGATTGTCAGTTATGATTACTCGTTGCTTGTTTTATCTGAAGAAGTTAAACTATGATCTAACGAAAGCTCATAAATAAACTTACTATTTCGTGGAAAGAGAATATGTTATTCATGCGTGTAATAATTACTCAGCAAATAGCGTTGATTAGAAAGTAAATACGGTTTATCATTTTTTTTTTATAAATATCCGGTGCTGTGGTGTTCCCCGTAGTCTCTGTGGCGCAATCGGTTAGCGCGTTCGGCTGTTAACCGAAAGGTTGGTGGTTCAAGCCCACCCAGGGACGACTTTCTTTTAAATGTACTGCTGATAAATTAATTATTACTTTCATCACATTGACATTCTCGTTGTATACTTGTGCTTAGTAGTTAAGCTTTCTATTGTGGCTATTGTGGTGGAGTCTCTGAGAGCTTTTTTCGGAACCGTCGCAACTCAATTTATCAGACCGTTCATTTGTTATCTGTAATTGGAAGCGAATATCCGTTATATGTGCCCGTTGCCTGTAATTACCCAGCAAATAGTGTTTGTCCATTGGAAGGTAATTACCGTTTATAATTATTTTTATAGATATTCGGTGCCGCGGCGTACCATGGTCTCTGTGGCGCAATCGGTTAGCGCGTTCGGCTGTTAACCGAAAGGTTGGTGGTTCAAGCCCACCCAGGGACGACTTTCTTTTAAATACGCAATCAAAAATTTCCTCTCTTCCGAGCCTACTGTTGTGCAACAGTGCAGGGGGTGCGAAACCTTCGGCCCGCGGAGAAGTGCCAATTTTGAATGGTGTGCGGCCCTCGAAACGACTTGGTCGTTTTGAACTTAATTGGGCACGAAATGTATCTATGGATCGTTTTGTAATTTTTTATTTTTCTTCTTATGGTTGTGAAAAAATCGCTTTCTGTTTAACTACAAAGCCAATTGCTTTGGATTTTTCGGAGTTTGAATATTGTTGTAGTCACTAGAATGTTATTATTACTTCTATTTAATTTAAAAAATTTTGCGGGCTCTAGGGAATTAGCTTTTCCCCTCAAATTCTTGTGTGATGACGCCATCAAAATTTAAAAATGCGCGCCGTTTCGTGGTTCTGGGTGTAGAGTTAAGAGGTTCTACAGGTCCTATTTCTGATTATTAGGCTTGTCTTGTCAATCTACTTCCGTAGCTAACTCTCGACACAGCTGTAACGCACACATAAACACATCCAACTTGTATGAAAGAACTTGTAATGAAAGTATATTTACAGTATATACAAGTCACAGTCCAGTAAAATTCCACAATCAGGTTAAAAGTTCCACAGTAGATAGATAAATTTCCACAGCAAGTATAACGGCAGTGTAACACAGTGAATGTAAAAACTTGATGTCTGTATGTGAATGTATGGTTACAATATATTTGTGTCTCCAACCCAACAACAGCACTTAAATTTAGCTACAAGACACAAAAACAAGAAAATACTATTAGCCTCATATATACAACTCAATTAGAACCTAAATATTACTAAATAATGCTAAACTTCCCTAAATATCTCAACAATCCTGAATTGACAGAATTAAAACCCTACAATTTGCAACTCAATGCCGCAAAGTAAACGCAGCTCCTAACAAAGAAACTCATGTGACCAAGCCTCATTGCACTGTTTTCGACACTAATAAATAGGACACCCAATATGATACAATAAGAATAACAAGGGCATGAATACCAATCAGCTGATATAAGAGAGTATTGCACCATCATTGCCAAAACTTCAAACTTTCTCGCGGTCAGTGACGCTTAATATAAATAAACAAATAAATAAACGAGAGCAAGTCTAAACATGATTATCGGGACCAGAATAACTAAAATGAATGTGTTAAATCACTAAAGTAAATTTCTGCCTGTAGCACTGGGACCGCATTTCAAGGTACTGTAAAGGATTTGATGCTACTCTTTTTTGGATTTCGTGTCCGTATATTCGAACATCGGTCTCTTGTTTTAAGTTGTGCTAGCCCCGCATGCAACTTTCTGCATTCTTTGTTGTTTTGATTAATTCCAGATGACCAAAAATAAATTGATTGAATTACCTCCCGCATGGCATTTAGTCATCAAAATGTAAATATCCTCGATCGTTATTTTTTAAACTTTTTATGTTGCGATGGCGCCCGCCTGTCTCTGTGGCGCAATCGGTTAGCGCGTTCGGCTGTTAACCGAAAGGTTGGTGGTTCGAGCCCACCCAGGGACGTCTTTCTTTAAAATACCTTGTTAAATAAATATTCATTTCATATCATTATCATTTTCTTCATAACATGTCAACATTAAAACAGGTTGGAAACCAGTAAACACCGCATATATATATACAGTACTTGCGCTTAGTCGTGTGAAAGTAGATCAAGCTTTCTATTGTGGCTTAAAATGGCATAAACAAAACTTATCATCTTTAAAATATTGGAGAGCATAAAAAAATTTCCTCCCGATTCCCCGAAAGCTTTTTTCGGAACCGTCGCAACTCAATTTATCAGACCGTTCATTTGTTATCTCTAATTGGAAGCGATTATCCGTTATAATTGCTCTTTGCTTGTAATTATCCAGCAAATAGCGTTTGTCCATTAAAAGGTAAATACCGTTTATGATTATTTTTATAAATATTCGGTGATTCGGCGTCCCGTGGTCTCTGTGGCGCAATCGGTTAGCGCGTTCGGCTGTTAACCGAAAGCCCACGCAGGGACGACTTTCTTTTAAATACGCGTTCAAAAATTTACTCTTTTCCTCTCTTTATAACGTTTCAACATTGAAATAAAACGAAGTCCAGTAAACGCGGCATACTTACCCATAGTTGTTATAAGATGGTCGAGCCTACTGTTGTGCAACGGTGCAGGGGGTGCGAAACCTTCGGCCCGCGGAGAAGTGCCAATTTTGAATGGTGTGCGGCCCTCGAAACGACTTGGTCGTTTTGAACTTAATTGGGCACAAAATATATCTATGGATCGTTTTGTAATTTATTATTTTCTTCTTATGGTTGTGAAAAATATCGCTTTCTGTTTAACTACAAAGCCATGCTTTGGAATTTTCGGTGGTTGATTATTGTTGTAGTCACTAGAATGTTATTATTACTTCTATTTAATTTAAAAAATTTTGCGGGCTCTAGGGAATTAGCTTTCCCCCTTAAATTCTTGTGTGATGACGCCATCAAAATTTAAAAATGCGCGCCGTTTCGTGGTTATGGGACCGCATTTCAAGGTACTGTAAAGGATTTGATGCTACTCTTTTTTGGATTTCGTGTCCGTATATTCGAACATCGCTCTCTTGTTCTAAGTTGTGCTAGCCTTGTAGACAACTTTCTGCATTCTTCGTTGTTTTGAATAATCCCAGATGAGAGAGAGAGAGAGATTTATTATTTTGTCAACCATAAAACAAGCGATGGTACAATAAAATACATACAAAATATGAAAGTTAATTCGTTTTTTTTTTTACTTTTTATACCGCGACGCCGCCCGCCGGTCTTCGTGGCGCAATCGGTTAGCGCGTTCGGCTGTTAACCGAAAGGTTGGTGGTTCGAGCCCACCCAGGGACGACCGTCTTTTGAATACATTGTTGAAAAATATTCCCTTCATCTGATTGTCATTCACGTCATAACGAGTGAACATTGAAAAAGGATGGAGACTAGTAAACGCGTATACTTATGATACTTATGCTTAGTCGCGAAAAAAGACTAAGCTTTCATTATGGCTAAAAAAAGCATAAACAAAACTTACCATCTTTAAAAATATTGCTTGACACCAAAAAATTTCCTCACGGGTCTCTTAAGCGCTTTTCTCGGAACCCGCAACTCAATTTATCAGATCACTAATTTGTTATCTTCAATCGGTAGCGATTATCCGTTATGATTGCTCGTGGCTTGTAAGTAGGCTCTGCAAATATCATTTGTAAATTAGAAGGTACCGTAAATACCGTTTATCGTTATTTTCCTAAACATTCGGTGCTACGGTTTTCTCACGTGGTCTCTGTGGCGCAATCGGTTAGCGCGTTCGGCTGTTAACCGAAAGGTTGGTGGTTCGAGCCCACCCAGGGACGATTGTATTCTAGGTACATTGCTAAAATCCCATTGCCGTTCTTTTCAGAACTTGTCATTATTGAAAAAGAACGGAGGGCAGTTAACGCTGGGTATTTGTGCTTAGTCGTGAAAAAACTATCAATCTAGCGATTGTTTAATTGTCAAAGAACGAGGGTGTGCAACAGGCGCCCTGCGGGCCACAACCCAGCCTACATATCTGAAAAATTATTCCTCTCATCACATTGTCATTCCCATCAGAACGTGTCACATTATAAAAGAACGGAGTCCAGTAAACGCCATATTCTTACTTGCTTATAGTTGTTGAAGAATGGTTATGAATATGTAGACCTCATTCGTGAAAATGTTTCATGAAAGCCAAAATCGCCTTATTACACATTCCATTCTCACATACTCGCACGCTTGTATATCAGTGCATGCGCAAGATAGCAATCTCGAACGCCAGCTAACTTAACACTCGCACGTTCGTACATATGAACACTCGCGATGAAAAATGAATCCAAATACGGGGCTTTACCTTTCTGCACGAGTTTAATTACTCAACATTCATTTGTAAGTTGTAACGTAGTGTGCTTTCGTGAAAGAGTCGAAACCTCCTTCCAAAACACGACAACGCGAAAATTTTCATGAACAAAATTTTACCGAGAGAAAGATTTATTTTTTCGTCAACCAAAATAAAATAACAGTCATCGTAAAAATAATAACAAGTAATTAGTTTGGTATAGACAGGACGGAATGATGCGACCAGGCCGTCATCAAAATCGAAAAAAATTCCAAAAGGTTACCACACTACCGGCCCCATGTTAAATGAGTATGCATCACAAGTCGAGGTCCCAGGAAGATTTTCTCGGAACTGGCAATCCCATTTATCAGACCACTCATTTGTTATCTTTAATCGGTGGCGATTATCAGTTATATATAATTGCTCGCTGCTACTAATTTAGGGTTGCCATACCGTCCGGAAAATTCCGGACATGTCCGGAATTTAGGGTTAAAATTTGCGTCCGGGAGGAATTTTGAAAAATGCTCAAATGTCCGGAATTTTACTGCATCTGCAATCGTAATGTGCACACTGCTAATACAGAACATTGTTATTTCGTACCGTGCGCATATTTTTACTACGAAGTTGTATGGAATTTTAATATAACAGAGCGTTTTCCTTATCAATGGTGTTAAAGTTGCAAACGTCTATGAGAGATGCTTGGAGTACCTGTGCAAATGGATGAAACCAATGGAAGAGTTTACTTGTT